CTCTGGTCCCTATCTAAACCTCTGGTTCCTATCTAAATCTCTGGTCCCTGTCTAAACCTCTGGTCCCTATCTAAACCTCTGGTCCCTATCTAAACATCTGGTCCCTATCTAAACCTCTAGTCCCTGTCTAAACCTCTGGTCCCTGTCTAAACCTCTGGTCCCTATCTAAATCTCTGGTCCCTGTCTAAACCTCTGGTCCCTACCTAAACCTCTGGTCCCTATCTAAACCTCTGGTCCCGATCTAATAGGGCACTTTCCCTCTTTCCCAGGTATTACCTCAGACCCCCTCCTTTCTCCTCAAGCTTTCCCTCCCACAACACATGCAGACGTCTCCATTCCATCAGTGGATAATGCCACTTCACCTTTCACTGGAAAAAGCCAGAAGTCATCGAGGCATTCACTTATCTTCCCACCCCTCTGTGTCTGCCCCTGCCCCCTGGCCTCCTCCACTTTCCCAGCGTACTGTGGAGAAATGGCCTCCTTCCTGCAGGCCCATTCCTTGGCACTTGCCGTGGGTCCCTCTCTCACCCTGCTCTTGGCTCTCCTCTTCCTTTCCACTGGTTTATACACACACTCGCCTTGACCCCCTAGGGCTCTGCCCTCTCCTTCAGCCAAACCAAGCAGAAGAGCCATAGCCCTGGGCTGCCTCCACTTCCACACTTCCTATCACATCTCTGGCTCTTGCCTCCACCCACAAAGGGGCTGACTGGTCATGGACAGCTATGCGTGCCAGACCCAGTGCAGGCTCTTCTGTCTTCCCCTGCCTGACCTCTCAGCAGCTTTGACACACTTCATGAAATAATGGTTAGCCTCTCTGACTACATGTTCTCTTGGTTCTCCCCTGTCTTACAGAACTCCTCCGCTTTCTTTGCTAGGTTATCTCTCTACCCAACTTTAAAGCGTCAGAGTTCTTTAGTACTGGGTCCTATTCTCTATCTCTCTTTCTCTTTCTGTCTTTTTCCCTATAATCTATCCTTAGGTGGTCTCTTCTATTACCAATGACTTTGAGTATTTCCGGGATGCCAGCAACTCTTCTGCTTAGACTCAAAATATTCAACTCTGTTCTTGAATCTCCACTTCTTGAGACCCCACAATTCCTCTGGTGTGCACTCTCCCTTGTAGTACTGATCAAACAAGCCTTACTTTGATTGGCTACTGGACTATCCCAAGTGGCTTTTGGCTATTGGGCTTCAATAGGAAGCAAGCACAAAAAGGTTCCATTTATCCAAGCTTATGTAGCTGGTTAGAGGCAGAGGTGAAGTTCAATTCCAAAGAACTCTCCCCTCAGAGCCTACGCTTCCCTTCTTTAACACAGGCAGTCGGTCACCTTGTAGTGAGCAGCTCATAGCCTACCCTTGACTTTTCAGCTCTACCACTTCCTTAAATAATTTTGCATGGCCTCAGTTTCTTCACCTATACAATGGGAATATTTAGTAACCACCTCACTGGGTTGGTGAGAGAATTAAATGAGTTCATGCAAGGAAAGCAGAAGTACCCCACCATGTGAGCCATCACTTTGCAAAATAACACCTGCTTCTTATTACATACACAGTAACATATAAATCTAAGATATTTTTATCTGTTCAGCAAAGCTTCTCAGGAAAGTATAATTCCTCATGATTTCTGGCTTACTTGAGATTTCCATTGTTGCAACCATATAAAAGATCACGCGGGACACAGATTGAGAGTACAAGCTGCAGGAGGTGGGCTTCCCATAGGTGCAAGGCAAGTGCCGAGCACTTTTTGCCGAGTCCCTTTATTGAGAAGATACACACTGGGCAGAAAGATTACTAAGCAAAGACATGCAGGGAAATGATCTCGTAGGTGCCAAGAGAGTATGTACTTAAGGAAATGATCTCCAAAAAGACTGCATGCGATTTTTCTCCACTAATCCTTCAAGGAACTGCCATTATACCATAGTTTAAATGACAGGGTCCTCTGCAACAACAGAGCATGAGTGGGGACCTGCTATGCTCTATACTGCATCCCAGCAGGTAGAAAGCCTAGGTGTTTCCTTTGCTGCCTCTTCCGCTATACAAGGAGCTTTGGGAGAATCAGGTAATGTCTATGTCTTCTCTAGACACTGCTTGCTAGGATACTATCCTGCTGATTTCTCAGCGAGACTTTGGGCTGAGCCATGCCTGCAAACATGTGGGGGTGGGAAGTATGTGTCGTTGCTAAGAGATACACCTCTCTGTGTGATAAGTATCCTTGGGAGAATTACCCTTACATGTTTCAAACAAACAACAAAAAAAACTCTTATTCTTTGAATAATCAAGAATGATCCCCTGTATATACAATTTTTTTTTTTTGAGATAGGATCTCTCACTCTGTCCCCTAGGCTAGAGTGCCAAGGTATCATCAGAACTCACACCAACCTCAAACTCTTGGGCTCAAGTGATCCTCCTCCCTTAGCTTCTCTAGTAGCTAGGACTACAGGCATGTGCCACCATGCCCCGCTAATTTTTCTATTTTTAGTAGAGAAAGGGTCTTGTTCTTGTTCTGGCTAGTCTCAAATGCCTAAGCTCAAGCAATCCTCCCAGCTCAGCTTCCTAGAGTGCTGGGATTACAGTCATGAGCCACCATGCCTGGCCAACAGTGATCCTTTATAAACAAGGCCACCAGAACTTTGATTGTCTACATTAAATTTGACAGTGTGGGTATAAGTACATACATTTTCCTCAGCCCTGTTATTTTTTTTAAAAATCTACTTGTCACTTCATCTTTGCAATTTAGAAAAAAACTATTAAAATAGCTCATTAACTGGAACAATGTCAAAATACAGACTTGAGAAATGAAATGCAAAGGAAAGTAAAATATCTACCAACCACCCCCTCAGTGTCGATTTGAGAGAGCAGATTGGGATTCTTTGATCTGAGTATAGCTTTCTACCCAAAGAATCTCTCAAAGGAGCCCTGGGGTACAGGGGATCAAAGAGATATTACCTGCTTGCTTTCTCTACATTGGAGCCTGATTACCCTCTAAGTTGGCTCCAAGAAAGCAGAAGCTGAAACTGCTTCTTTCAAGGGTCAGAAAGGCCACATCCAACCCTAACCTGACAATGTCCTCTCCCCTAGCCTTCTGGGCCACACTGCTAAACCAGCATGCTGCATTTGAGCTTTCATGCCCACAGCTCTTCTTGCAACAGTCCCTGCAGCTTGGATGACACTCCTTCCATCTTTTCTTCAGTCAAGGCAAAATTCATGTAACATAAAATTCACCATTGTATGGTGGTGCCTGTGGCTCAGTGAGTAGGGCACCGGCCCCATATACCGAGGGTGGTGGGTTCAAACCCGGCCC